CAAAGTGCAGCAGGTTGTGCTGAGGCTTAACTGGTCCTTGAAGCTTATTTTGGAGTTTTATCAGAGGAAAAATGGGTTATATTGGGGCTCACGGTGTTGCAGCTCTGCACAGATATAAATATAGTGGAGTAGATCATTCCTATGTGGCCAAATATGTATTACAACCCTTCTGGAGTCGCTTTGTTAAAATTTTCCCCCTATGGATGCCGTGAGTACTTTTTATCATTTGAAACTAAGTTCTTTCTTTGTTTTGACTTAATTATTTTATAATATAAAAACATCTGTTTACTTCAAGAATGATAAATTTTATTATGAAATTCATTTAGGCAGATGGATTGTTATTATTCTAGCCATGGAATTTTTTTTCTTATAAATTATTATAATATAATGTTGTTGTTGCTGTTATAGTTAGTTACTGAATTACTGTAACTTCATATAATCAGTTTGAATGAATATCCTCAAAGTTAACCCTAGCCGTAGGAAATCTTCATAATCTTTTCACATATTTGTGATTTAGATCTTGGTTTATATATGAATGGCTGGTTTATTTGCTTTGCTTGTATTCACTGTGTCTTAAAATTGCTTATCCAGCCATCATTGGAAGTTAGAGTATATTGAAACTTAAAATGATATTGTTTACATAGATGTGTTTTCATTGGCCTTTTTGTCAGTAGTAATATCTGGATTAGTAACTTCCTTTTACACAAGGTTTGTGTAATAAATAACTTCTAATTACAATGACAATGCATGACGACACCTGTGGGATAGAAATCATCCAGAAACTTATAGTTGTTATCAACACTGGTTATTGTGCATGTGAACCTGATTGTAACTATATATTTGTTTCGCATTTATGGCTATAACCACATAAACATACACCTACGCACACACATTCATGGAGATAATACTATCATTTATTCTTTTTGGTAATACTTTGGTTTATTATTTTTGCAACTTAGTTTGAGTTTTGAATACACTAACTTGTACCTTTTTCTTTTATTTATCTCCATCTCTTGGCATTATGCGAATCTTTGCAGTCCAAACATGGTACACCTTTTGCCTCCTTTCTTATTGTAGCGTCATCTGTAATTGTTACTGTTGTTACCATATGCTATAACATTGGCTCTGATGATTCATAAATTACATGGTTGCAGATTACTTTGACAGGATTTATGTTCTTACTACTGTCTGCATTGCTTGGTTACGTAAGTGGAACCTGAGTCCATTAATCCTCCTACTTCCTAAAATTAAAGTCATAACAGTTATAGCTTCCCAATGTTTCACTTCCTTTTTCATTATGTCAAATGATAGAAAGGAATTTGCAATTATTATAAACAAGTATGTGAATTGTGAAGTATGTTTAAGATTGTTGGTTAATTTCACCCTTTATTGATAATTTCTTTTGTTGAACTTGAACTGTTCTTTACATGGTTAGGAAGGGAATTTGGATAGTGTGAATGGCTGTGTTCAAACAGTGAATTTGCAGATACATTTATGTTTAAGATTGTTGGTGAATTTCATGATTTATTGGTATTTTCTTTTGTTGAACTGTTCTTTACATGGTTGGGGATGGGAATTTGGATATGGTGTGAATGGCTGTGTTCAAACAGTGGATTCCTAGAAACATTATACTTAAATTTCTTTCTTTCTTTATTTTTCAGATATACTCCCCTCAATTGGACTCAGCTCCTCCAAGATGGGTTCATTTTGCTCATGGACTACTTCTGTTTTTATACCAGGTCTGATCAAATTCTCATAGTGCAGTACTTGCCAACTTCGTTGGCCATTTGACCTTAGTTTCAATCTTTATGTTGGGTAGCTGTGTTTGCTGCCTTGATGGCAACCAACCCTGATAAATTTTACTTATGTTATAGTTTTCCTTGAATCTTGATCTCATTTCAAGCACATAATATTTGCTCTCTAGTCTCTTGAATCTTGATGTAATGGTTGTAGTGTTGTTTCACAACAAATCTAAATGATTTGAATTACAGAAACTAGCAATAAGTTGGTTGATTATAAGATGCATAAGCTTGGTGCTCTATTGGTTGATGATTATGTGATATTATTGAAATTCTTGAACCTTGAGTTTGAAACATGTTTACTTTGATCTTCTGTTTCCTATTACTGAGTAATTTCCTGAAAATAAAGGAATCAATATTTGGATAGTTTTATCTTTTCCTCAATGCCTTTGTGATTATTTATATCCTACAATGTACAGTGGTTCCATGTGCTGTTTATGTCGTGACCACTAAACAATACTCATGGTTTATCCATGGGAGAGCATGATGCCTAAGTTCCTATTTTTTGCTATAATTATTTTATTTCTTGTGTTCTTATGTGTGTGTGCTTGTGCTAGACATTTGATGCTGTTGATGGGAAGCAAGCTAGACGAACAAGTTCATCGAGCCCATTGGGGGAGCTATTTGATCATGGTGATTTTCCTGCATTGTGTTTTTATTCTATTGTTTTTATTATTTGTACCTGTTTGTTATTAATGAAGATATTTTCAACTGTATTTGCAGGGTGTGATGCACTTGCTTGTACAGTATGTCTCGTTTAGCATTGGCTATTTTTTTTAAATCATTGAATGAGACTTAAAGACAATCATCTATGAGAATTTGTTTTCAGTTTGAAGCATTGGCTTTTGGGAGCACAGCCATGTGTGGAAGAAGTACTTTCTGGTGGTGGTTAATATCTGCAATTACATTTTATGGTGCAACCTGGGAGCAGTAAGTTATCATATTAAATTAGTATATGATAGATGATATGTTATATTGACTGTAATTTTCTTTTCTTAATTTTTTTTTTGTGTTTTTATTAGAAAGTCATACAGTATTATACATTGCAGCATGTGGAAAATAAGAATTTGTTTTAGCTACCCCTTATGTTAAATAATGGATGGTTCTAACTGAATAGAAATGCCCAATAAAAATTAAATTTGAATGACTCTGGAAAATGACTATATGTTTGTGTGCTGCTTGTACTGTTCTATAATGAAATATCTCTTATTCTTAAACTGGCATCTTTCCTTTCGTGAAAACATACAATTGGAAATTTGGCATGATTATATCTTTTTATACCATATTTCATTTATGCTGCTACAGGCTACGAATGTTAATTTTCTTTTAAATGTTGTTTTGGATGCAGCTACTTCACCAATACGCTTATATTGCCTGTTGTAAATGGACCTACAGAGGGTCTTATGCTAATATACCTCTGTCACTTTTTCACTGCTATCGTGGGTATGGACTTCTCTATGTTATACACACTCACATCTACTGAGTTTGCTTAGAATTCCATGTTTGTTGTGGTTGTTGTTGTTATTATTATTATTATTATACAGGTGCTGAGTGGTGGGTTCAGCCATTTGGAAAGTCTTTGCCATTTTTAAATTGGTTTCCTCTTATTGGGGGTAAGATTTTCTTTCATTATATGGTATTATTTCTATGTTTTGGATCAAAAGATGATTTATATGTCTCTACTCTCTACTCTTTAATGCTATTTGTGTACTTGTTCCAAGTTTCATATATAGCACCTTCTAAGAAGTATTTTTGGTATTTCCTTTGCTGAAGGTCTGTCATGCATTTGGAGACAAGTTTTTATACATTGACTGTCTTTTACTTGAATTTTTAATCTAACTCATAATTCTGCATGTTCACTGGATACCCAGTTGTCCTTGTCGTTTCAGATGCATGATTGTGTGTTATATGAACTTGGGATTTGGGTAAATAGGCATAAGGAACATATTTAGTTTTAGTTACCTATGATTGTGTGGGGATGAATCATCTGTATTAGATTGTATGGCCAATGTAAAACTTGTCGCCAAACATGGATTTGTTTTATTGTCTTAAGAGAGGGTAAGTTCTTTACTTGATAGAATGTTTTCATTTTTCAATGTCTTGAATGCCAAATTTTTCCTCTCAAATTGTTTGCTATGTACTACAGTATGTTCTTTTACTTAAATGTCTGGTTTGGATAGCTAAAATTTTCCCTCGTCTTAGTGTACAGCCTTTTAGATTGAAGTCCTCAATTCATATTATTTTTTTTTGTCAACTTTTCATTTCTTTTTAAGTTGTTAGAATCTATGCAGTCACTAAGATCATATTGTCAATATATTGGTAGAAATAGAAACAAATAGATCATATTATGTTTACTAAGACCTTAGAGTATATGGGGTGCATGTGGTCTGCCTTTAGTTTTCATTTTCAGATGATATGTTTTTACTACTATTTATGAAAGTCTTCCTTGTTTTCACTTTGTTTCCTACTTTCAAAGGAAATGGTGAAAACAACAAAATATTGTTTTCTCCATCTCCCTTGATAAATCACTGCTTGATTTTGTTCTTTCCACATTTCAGGAATCCCAACATTTGAAGCTGTATTGTGTTTAATGATAGCTTTTGGTGTTATACCAACAGTCACATGCAAGTATGTATAGCTAACCATATTTAAGTTGAATCTACTTTAACATGTGCAATACCCCACTAACTGTTGGCATAAAATTTGTACATTCTTTTCTAACTCATAGCTTACAGATTTTCTTATAGGTTGAACTATACCATTTGGTTGCTATTTTGTTTCTAGTTATACTTCAGCATTAATGGACTGAAACCGAGATTATCAAGTAGTTGGAATATAGAAAATAATTCATGATGTCTTTATTGTATCTTAGAATACTTTAGTTTCTTAGATGATCTTGTGGACAGGTATCCTGATTTCATTATATTTCTTGATTTGTTTCCTTGTTTGATTTGATTAGGATTTTGAAGTCTAGTTCTACTAGCATGAATAGGGATCAGTTTTATATTTTTGTATCAAATTATAATACAATATATTAGCATAAAGTCCTGTAACTTCGAATCTCTATTCACCCTATTGTTTCTGCTTGCCTAGATGCTGTCATTTCCACCCTGTTAGATGTGACTAAGTGACTTGTGAGGAATTCTGGTCACCATAACCTTAGTTGGCCCATGTAAACACTTCTCGTTACTGTTGTCACTGATCTCTATTGTCTACAATTTATCCTTATTTTATCCAAAGACAATCTATTTTGTAATTTATCTTTCTTTGAAGGGGTTCATGTTTATTATAGTTTAGATCTTTACCTTTGTACCTTGAACAACGGCTTGTTGTAATCCCACAGGGCTAAAGCACCTGTGTTTCATCCTCATCCTGACATTTAAGGTTGACTAACTCGAGAGTTTACGTAAACTCATGGAGCCTTCGTAAATTCAACTCGCAAACTCGACCCAAACAAGTAAGAGTTAACTCAATATAAAAATAATATAAAAAGTATAAAGGACATTTATGCATGAAACATAATACTTCCAATATAAACATTCCAACTCCATAAAAATGAAAAATAGCAAAATACAATAAATACAGTAACATTACTGGTTCCAAAACCTCCCTTACTAGTTCTACTAGACATTAATATTATCGGTTCACTGCTGATATATCATAAAATCACAAAATCAGCCATAATATAACACATTACTATATTAGCCTTATTGCTATTATATATTATAACAACCAATCAGGAATCAACCAACACAGCCAAAATATTATAAAATCACAATTTTATCAGGGAAATGACAAATGCCTAAAATAATTGAAGACATTAAGACAAAAGGGAGATTGATGAATTTGAATGGAGCCTGTCTTCACTCTTCAACAATGGTGTTTCATGTTCATCTTCTACAATGGGTGACTATCTTCAACTTGAGCGGAGCCTTTAGAGAATGGGTGTGCGTATTGAGCAATGGCAAATGAGTGTTTATTTTCAATGAAAAATGCCAAAAGAATGGGTCCTGCAAGGAGATGACCATGACTAGAGAGACCTGATGATTGGGTGCTGCAGGGCCTTTGAGAATGGTGTTTGGTGACAAGATGGCTTCTAATTTGGAGAGAAAAACCACAAAGAGAGAAAAGATGAATTCAGCCCTAAGTTCACTTTTTAAATGTTCCTCAAAGCAAAGAAAATAGGTGTTGCTTTTGGCCAAAATTTGGTTCTAGCTGAAATTGCAAAATTGCTCCTATAATTGAGTTTGTATGATTTTAACCGACTTGCACCGGTTTGAACGAGCCTACACAAAAACAATTTTGCAAGAGATTTGGCTTAATGGAGGTCTCTGGGCATGTAAATTCTTATGATTCTATAAGTTGAATAGCGAGTTTGACAACCTTGCTATCATTTATACTTAGATGGTGACATCTCTTTCAATAAAAAAGTATTCCAATAGTTCATTCACGGTCATACCATAAGTTACTATTCTTCCACTGACAATCATTTGCTGACTTTTTTCATATCAGTGATTCATACACTGATAAATATATTGTGATATCAGCCAGCCTCCTGTCTTTGTATCAACTGATGACAATTTCCCATGTATCAATGATGAGTCGTACTGTTGAGTAGTTCTCATTGCAATGGTGCATACCCCACCTCAATATTTCAAAGTTGTTCAGTCTCCTACATTTTTATGCTGTTTGATGCTTCCAAATGTGGATTGGAAAAGTTTGGGCTAGCTGTGCCAGTTCGCTTGCCAAAAAATTTCTCTTGTTGATGATCATTGCAGCTGTACTGCCGAGTTCTCTTGTTAGCAACACTCATTTTTCCTGTCTCCTGCATCCCTGAGTATCATTTCTATTTATGTTTTGTAGAACATACTATATGTGAGTGCATGTAAAGAACTCATTTGTATCAAGCTTAAAGCTTACATAGCTTTATCTTGAGGGTTTGAAACTTAGAATTTGGGAAAACATTTCATAATAGATTAATGTCTTTATTGTATCTTAGAATACTTTGGACTATCTTTGATGATTTCATAGAGGAGGTTTCCAGATTTCATTATATCTGCCCTCCCTTTTTTTAGGATTAGGAGTCCAGTACTAGTAATCTAGTGTAAATAAGGGTAAGTGCTTTGTATTTTGTATCACATCATATTATCCCATATTAATTAAATTTCCTATCACTAGTGTATTCATTTTCTTCTTCCTTACTTGAACCCTACAGTCTCTAGTCTCAACACAGGTGTAGGTTTTGACATTCTTCATTCTTATTGTTATATTCATTTGGTGGTATTTTGGAGTATGTAGAACTCTATTCCTTAAATCATCCAGGTTATCATAATAGTTAACATAATCTATGCTTCCATGATAAAAACCAAGGTTTTACATTTTAAGTACGAAATGATCCTTGTTTCTGTAGGCTTTTGTCTGTAATTTATTTGACGGCCAAAACTATCTTTTTGTTCCATACAGTGTTAGTAATGTTTATAAGGTTGTCAAGGCAAGAAACGGAAGCATGCCGCTTGCATTGGCAATGGTAATTCTTTTTTCCTGTATGATATTCTTTCCGTAAAATCTGATTGCTTTGTTAATGTGTGCTTTTTCTTTGGCAGCTTTATCCATTTGTTGTACTTGTGGGAGGAGTCCTTATGTGGTATAACTCAACTCAAGATGCACTGATTTTGTACTCAGTTTGTTTGAATGATATAGACATCCTATTATTCTTTTATCCATATAAGCACTTGGTGCATTTTTTGTTGCAGGGATTATTTGTCACCATCAGACATCATGGGGAGATATCCACATTTAGTTGTTATAGGAACAGGACTTACTTTCGGATATCTTGTGGTAAGATAGCTTTGTTTTAAATTTGAAAAATTGTTAGTTATTAATTTTTTTTATTTACAATGGCAAGCTGCTTTTTTATACCGTATTTTCTTTGGTGCTCTTTTTAGCTGGTTACCATCATCCATTAATATAATTATTTTTTGGCTGATGGCTCTTTGGAAGCTGAACCAATTTGCATAGGACTAGATAGCTGTCAAAATATAATGTTAATTGATTTGGTTTAGGTGCTTATTGATTCATGTACAACATAGTTTTCAGAATCCAAACATTTTTTCCTTATGAATAATTGTACTGTGTTTGGAATTAATTAAATTATGCTTTTGTGTTTTTTGAGTGAACCCTAGACTGAACTTATATGGATTAGATAAGGGGAATTGATTCTGGCTTGCATATCATGTACTGAAACAAATACATTCTTAATAAGCGCATAATTCATATTCTGTCAGTCTGTTCTAGAACCTTTTTTTTTTTATCTAGTACCTGAGTATATAATTTGTCTTCTTATTCTTGGTTTGCTTTGGGGCTTCTAATTCCATGCCTGTTCTTGAATATTTCTTTTTATCTAGTACCTGAGTATACAATTTCTCTTATTCTTGCTTTGCTTTGGGGCTGCTAATCATGCTGCAAGGTATCCTATATCATTTCAATTTTCATTCATTGGTCTACTCTACCTGCATATTTTGACTTTGAAGAAACTATGATTTTGATGATCTCATTATTTAAGGGGGTAGATATCCTGTTATACTCTATGTAAATGCAATTATGCATTCTATTTACATACTATTGAGTTTAGTCCTCAAAATGTTAATTTGATTGCCTTTACTATCTGATTTCTTTATGAAAAGTTATTGGACTACAAAATTGTCTAGAGTATGTTATTTTTTGTCATGATACCATTGACACATTGATTAGTTCTTACAATATCTTTGCTATGGACAATAATGGTTCTGCAACATTTATGTCAAAGTGAAAATATGTACTCGAATGGAAATTTCTGCCAGTAATTAGGAACTTAAGATCTCATATGATGGCAAATTCTGCATGCAAACATAAAATTTTCAAATCAAGTGTTTTGGAAAGTTAACTAAATACATGAGACGAATAATTAAAAGTTTATTTTATGAAAATAGCCTCAATAGTTTTGTTAGTAAATACATTTACATGCATAATCTGAAACAAATGTTCTTGCCACTATACTTGTGGTTGTTTCTGTTCCTCTTGATGTTTTCTTTGTAACTTTTCTAAAGATTACATATCTTGCCTCTGGCTTGTTCTTGTATAAAACTCCATATATTATGATTTTTAACGATGGAAGCTTAATTTTGCAGGGAAGGATGATTTTGGCTCACTTATGTGATGAACCTAAGGGTTTGAAAACTGGGATGTGCATGGTACTAAGCTGTTTTACTTGGCTGTTACATTCTGAATTCTTTATTGAGAATTGAGATGCTTGATTTGGCTGCTGTCCCTCATATAAAACTATGAAAACACAATGATGAATCGGCCAAAAGTTCTCTATACTTTCTGTGAACTTCACTTTCATTTGTTTTACCGTAGTTGCAAAGATCGCACATATGACGAGTCTGTTTTCAACCCCTTAAGATTCTTGTTATCCTTTATGTTTAGAGCATTATCATGCAAGTAGTGTCTATATTCATTGGATAGGCTAACCTAATCATGTAATTAATAATTAGCAAACTGTATCATTGCATTATTTACATTAACCCTACATATACAGCCTCCTTTATGGAAGTGAAACATAGTTTCAGCATCTCTGTGCACTCTATTTCAGCAGCATCCAATATTTTTTTTTCCTATTAAGAAGAACCTTGATATTTCAATCTTGACTTGAACACTAGGGTTGGAATAAGTTAACATGGAGGTATTAATTTTTTTTTTTTTAAGATTTTACTTTATATTTGCCTCTTCAATTGTCATTCTTTTTTAAATAATAATCTGTAAATGTCTAAATTATCTAATACATATTTAGCTGGGTATTTAAGTTGATGTAATTTTTTTTCTGGTAGCAGTGTTGTATGTTGATGAATTTCTTGAGCGTTATAAAAGAAAGGGTAATTATTAATTGTTGTCTGGCTTCAAAACCATTTTTTAATACTTGGAATGATATTTCTGTGTAGCATGAGAGTAATTTTAGTTTCTTAAACATCAAAAATTGGCGATTCATATTTAATAATAATATGGAAAACTTCAACATGAAACATAGGGGATATATTCTTTGATCATTCAAGACAATCTTTTCAAACCGTACAAATTTGGTTCACTCATTTTACGAAGTAAAATCTCAGCAGTGAATTTTCATTCCTTAAATGTTTACAATATCTTACACATATTTAATTGTATGACAGCATATTGTTATTGTTTAGAGATTCATATCATAATGAGTCATCCATGGTCGAATGACAGAGAAAATTATAGACAACACTTTGATTAATATATTTGATTTCATTCAAGTGATTGATTGTTATTGTTGTTGTTACACTAAATAATTGATATAAACATTATTTATCTTGTACAGTCCCTTGTGTATCTCCCATTGGCCATTGCTAATGTACTTGCATCAAGGCTAAATGATGGGTATGTGCTACGGTTTTGCCTTCTGAATTTCCATGCTTTTCATGTTTGTCTGTTCTAAAAAAATCCATTTATATATTTTTTTCAGGGTTCCCTTACTTGATGAGAGGCTAGTTCTTCTTGGTTACTGTGCATTTTCAGGTACAACTTCATTTTGTGATTTATTGATTTTGGCCTTTATAGTTTTGCTTGTAACGTAAAGCAGCCCATCTCACTAAGAAATCACTATTAACAAATTATTTCGAACTTGATAAATTGATGCATTGGTCATTGCTGCACTTAGTGAAATTTTTTTTTGGGTCAACACTTGAGATGGAGTAATTATGTAATTTGTTTACCCTAGCTGTATTTCGTTAACTTAATGATTCTGATTATATGAACAGTGATGCTTTACTTGCATTTTGCCACGTCTGTCATTCATGAAATTACAAATGCCCTGGGAATTTATTGTTTCAGGTAAATTACCAAGCTTTCTGCTAGTATAATACTTTATGAAGTCTAATTTATTTTATTAGTTCATATAGAGAATTGGTTTTGTATGCTATATTACATCAATCCTTGCTTTTATTACTACATCAATCTTTGCTAAGAACAATGGTCTTTGGTACGTATGTCTTATCTTTTGTTCAATTTCAGGATAACTAGGAAGGAAGCTTGAATCTACCCAAGATTTCCTTTAGGTATGCCTTTACCAACTAATAACTTCTTTCGGACATGTTCTTTATTTTCCAAGTTGTCAATTTCAGTTTATAAAGTAGCATTTTGTTTGAACTTACTTTCTACTACCTTTCTGTGTGTCTTGCTGAGTCATTATTTTTGTCATTTCAGATAGCAAGTCAAGCAAAAATACTGGCAAGGCTTTGGTCAGTACTAATTTTGCTTTGTTTGACAAATTTGACTAACATGGAACTTGTAATTATATATTGATTCTTAGATAGACTAGGAGATCTATTTGTGGAAATTCTTGTGTTTCAATTCAACCACTAGAAATATTTATTTTATTTTGAATGTGACTTAAAAAAATCTACATATTTTTATTTTTTAACATATTAGAATATGGTTTTGTCGTGGTTATTTGAGTATGGATAACTGAGTTTAAAATAAACCAAAATGTAACTAAGAATATATATTATCCACAGAGAAAATTCAAAATATATTTTTAGATTTTGATACGTTTATCGCAGCATTCAACAAAGTAATTTAATATGCTTGTGTCTTCATTTCCATTTATGCCTCTTGTGCTAGTTATTATTATTGTTTTTTTTTTTGTTCAACGGCAAACAATGAGAGTTGAACCTAAGATATACAAACTTTTGTGCTAGTTTTTAACATGCAACTCGTTGTGTCAATTTTTAATATGCAATCACAAATTAAAAGTTGAGTTACAATTACGGTTTAGGCCTTGGTTTTACATCAAGAATCAATTGTTTAAGCTGTATATAAATTTTAATATAAAATTCATAGTTTAGATTAATTTGAATACATATTTTAGTAACATTTATAGTTTAAAATTATTTTATTATTAATTTTTAAATAAATGGGCATTTAGAAGTTATCCTCTTTTTAAGTTTATTGACTACTGTCATCAAGGTGATTGTTTTTCAAAATTCCTGTATGTATATTCCCTTTTAAAGACACGGATGGTTAATTTTTCTTGATTATTATTATTTTCTTAATTATCCTTTGTTCTCAAGTAATTACATTCTCATGTTTGAGCTTTTATTTCCATGATGATGAGTGAGTGGGAAAGTAAGGAGCAAGGGAAGTTATTCTTTTAACATATAACTTTATTAATTTTTCTGAATTCTAAAAATATTGGTAGGAATATTAGAGTGTAATAAAATAAGTTTCTTTTATAAATATATTCAGAAATAAATTCTGGTTAATATATTTTTGTAATGTAATTCTTAGGAACGCAATATAAAACCTTAAAACAAATACTCCTAAATATCGGAATATCGGAAATTTACCACCTTACGTAACGTGTATTGGGATTTATCAGCTCTGGTTGCAATTGTCTAATTTTGGTTTAGAAAACAATAAAACAAAGTATCTATAATATATAATTTAGAAAATGTAGTAGCTAGAAGAATTAAGAGATTTAGAAAATAGTATATATGAATATTCTGCAGAAGAATTATCTATAGAAGAAACATAATCCGAATAGTACTTATATAAGAGTAAAACTAAATATAAAAGAGACTGAAACATACATATCAATATATGAGAAAGTATTTGTATTGCAACAAAGCACTCTTTGAAATATGGGATAAACTACAAAAACCATTAAAAATACAAATAGAAGATGGATCAATATACCCATTATACTAGGTAACAAAAAGAGTTACAATTGAAATATTTCAAAATTATTTACTATTTCAACAATATATCAACAAGAAACAGAAATAAATATGATCATAGAAACAACTTCCTTAGATTATATTCTCCATTTTATCAATACTTAGAATATATAACACTAAGAACTCCTTATATATATATATATATAAAAAGAGAGATTTGTAGAATACCTATTCTACATTATTTAGATTGCAAATACTCCATAAAATTATCAGAGTTTAGCAAGGCTAAGTGTGGTGAAGTAGTAACAGAAATATGTCAAAAAAATTGACAAAATTTAATTGATTTAGAAATAGGAAGAACTATCCTTGCACACATAGAAGAATTATAAGATGAAGTATGTTGTGAAGATCCATTAGATTCAAGAATTAATGATAAAAAAATACAAGATTAATAGGACTAAAATTAAAAGACCCAACAAAAGAAATAAAATGTAAACTTATCCCAAAATAGAGAATAAGTTGCTGAAGACATTGAATAAATGATGAATAAAGGATTAATTAGACCATAAAAAGCAAACATTCTTTACCATCTTTTTTATGTAAAAAATCATAATGAAGTAAAAAAAGAAAAAATGGTGATAAACTATAAACAAATGAATGATACAATGGAGGGAGATGTATATTATCTTCCAAGAAAATATTTAATTATTGAAAGAATTCAAAATATGAATTGGTTCAATACTTTTGATTGTAAATCGGGGTTTTAATAGATAAGGCTAAAAGAAGAATATAAAGAACTAACGACATTTAGTTGTCCTCATTGGACAATACGAATGGAATGATGTATTACTTATGAGATTAAAGCAATCACCAAGTATTTTTTTTAAAGAAGAATGAATTCAATACTTAAAATATTTAAAGATTTTTGCCTTATTTAAATAGATGATATATTGGTATATACTAATAAAGATGTAAAAGATCATTTTGAAAAAGTTGAATTAGTCTTAAAATAATGTTTAAATAATGGAGTAGTATTAAGAAAAAAGAAAGTTGTATTAGCATGAAGCAAAATTAATTATATACCTAGGTTTAGAAATAGAAAAAGGAAAAATAATAATGTAAAAATATGTATTTGAAAAAATTCAAAGTTTTTCAATAAGTTTAAAAGATAAAAAGGATGTACAAAGATTTTTCGGATTATTGACCTATATTTTCAATGAAGGATTTATAAATTTAGCACTAGAGAGAGATTTTACAAAAAAAAATTTAAAAATGATGCTTTCTGGTCTTAGACTAAAGAATAAAAAAACTTATTAAAAAATTACAAGAAATACGTAAAGATCTTCCTAAATTTTATCCTGAATTATATCCCCTTTATAATACCGTACGTGGTAAGTAAATAATTTAGAGTTTAGTAACTCTAGAGAGAATGGTATATAAGATTTCTTTTGAGAATAGAGTCTCATAAACTCATTTTCAAGAAATTCTAGAGAGAATTTTTAGAGATAAGAGCTCTGGATTCGTAAGCTCCTTTCCTTATCAAATTTCTCTATTTGATCCCTCTTCTCTTCTAGATCACTAATCTCTTCTGTCATTTCTTTGAATTCAGGCTAGAAAGTTTCTTCTAGATCACTAATCTCCTTTTTTCTCTTCTGTGTTGTTCTGAGTCAATTTTCATGTAAGAGAAGTTAGAATGTAATTATTTGATAGTATATGAGTTTAGGAACTTAATTGATGCATGATTTTAGGGGAATTAATGGTTGAATTTAGGGATTTTCTCAACTTCTAGGTTTTGGGCCATTTTTGGGAAATTGATGATTTTGATCCACTAGGTGTGTGCATGTGGGATTTGAATGTGTTTCTAGATTGTTTGATGCTTGGATATCATATTGTATGGGTTGCATGTTGTGGATTCTTATGATTTTCAAGTTTTGGATGGATTTTCTGAGTTTGGGGTACTACTATTTTGAATCTGCGTCGGGTGCGTGTTCTTGGCACCGAGTACATGCGTGTCTGCGAGATTCTAGGGGGGTGATGCATATTATTTGAATTTTCAAAACTATCTGCCCTTTCCCTCTCTTATATCCTATAAATACATCATCCATCCTCTCATTTTTTACATTCTACAATTTCATCTCATTCTAAATTCTCTCATTCATATTCCTCTTCTCTCTGTAAAAAAAAATTATCCCTCTCATATTTGATATTTCATATATTTATTTATAAATAAAATTAGAATAAATTAAACAATATATTTTATTTTAAATTTATTATAAATTTAATTCAAAATACATTGGTAACAACTCCCTGATAGACTATGCATATATAACTCATTTTATTTGTTTGTTACATATATAATATAAATCATCTCTACTTCACCATGAGAATAACATCATTCATATTGTGTCAAGTTTGACCTAAAATTAAACACTAATCTTGAATCTCAAATCCCTCAACAATTCAACGCTCATGGCAACAATCCCAGAAGAAGTTGTGTTGCACCACATTCTCCCATTATTCCCATCAAAGGCTCTCATTCGTTTCAGGTGTGTATGCAAGTCATGGAACTCTTTCATAATCCACCCTTCATTTCTTCACCTTCGCACAATCACTAATCACATCATTCTCCTCTCACCCAACCCACAAGTTGGATTTTCACAACCAAACATCTTCTCAACACCCATTATTCACCACTCCAACATCATCACAACACCCCCACACCCCTCATTCCTCTTCACCCTCTCAAACCTTAACTTCACCCTAACACGTGTTCAGACTGTTAATGGTTTGTTTTGTTTTCACCCAAAAAGAAACGTTTGGTTCTATTCCCATGCTCATGTTTTCACTCTCATCGCAAACCCCACCACTAGAGAGGTTATCACTCTACCCCTGGATCACTCCATCGACAACAAAAACAAGTTTATGGTGTCAACTCATTTAAGTTTATGGTGTCAACTCATTTTGGATACGACCCTGTTAGAGACAAGTTCAAGGTTCTTCGCATGTTAAGGTACTATGGTTATTATGTGTTAAAGGTTTTTACTATTGGTGTTGATTCTTCGTGGAGGGATATTGCTCCTGAAAAACATGTGAAGGAACTTTTGTCCCGTTATTATTGTGTTAAGAGAGGCCTATGCGTGAACGGTGTTATATACTGGATATATTCGTATGTGTTTCTCATGCTTTTCGATGTGGGGACTGAACAGTTAAGGGTGATTGATCTTGCTCCTTCTGCTGGATATCCCTACTTGAGCGAAGTTCCTTTTCATTACCCAGATTTGGTTGAAATCGATTGTTGTTTGTGTGTATTTAAATACAAAGACAGCGGTATGAAGTTGTGGATTTTGAGGGACAATGAGGCTCAGGTGTGGGAAGAAAAAAGTTTTGTGATTCCTTCTGCGGTTGTGTCTCCACGTGACTTTGTTTTTCCACTTTGTGATGTCCCCACTGGTGAGATCCTACTTATGCCATATTTTCTCTCTAGAATTGTTGGAGGAGTTTACTATGACATGGACACCATGAAGTTTAGGAGCGTTGTGCTCATGGAAATGCCCTTGACATGGATGCAAAGACTTGGAGAGGTTGATATTGTTTTCTGTCAAGAAAGCTTTAGGTTATTAAAGTAGCTAGGACTGTAGACAAATTTCTATTTGTTGGTACTTTGATTGTGTCACAAGAGTTATAACTGATTGGAATCATATCCCCTTTTGTCTAACTACTTTCCTTGAACCGACCATTAGGGTGAGTTTCAATTTTAGGGTTAGCTTACCATATACAAAAGATTTTAAGTTTAGGCATGCCTCTTTGTAATTAAAAAAGAAAAAGAAAAAACACTACTTTCCTTTTTTTTTTTTAATTAAAAAATGATAAGTTATTATATTTTTTTAGGTTTAAATATGTTTTTAATCACTTAAATTTAATGTAAATTTATTTCTAGCCCTTCAAATTTAAAATTAGTTTTTTTAGTTCCTATAATTTATAAAAGTCTTGTTTTAATTCTTATATTCAAATTTTGTTAGTATTAAATACTCTTGTATATCATTGTTATTATTAATGAAAATATTATATTAAACTCAACTGAAGTTGTACAATTGTCTTAATCGATTACTTTTAGATAGAATTGTCAAAAAGATTCCTATTCGTGGGCTAACCCAGCTCACCTTGAAAATGGGCTGGGCAGAGCCAAAATATAGAAATTTTCATAATGGTTCAAAAGATGGAGCCAGACCCACTTGCAACTTGGCCCACTCGGGTTGAACTCTTGGTGGATTGAGCTGTCTATCTAACTCACTTACACTCCCATCAACCCAACCCATTAATAATCCACTTAAACATTTATTGTTATATATGTATTATTTTAATAATATACCATTTTTTTGTAGATAAAGATAAAGTTGATGATAAACAACTTGAAATTGCTATAAATTTATAAACTCAAATCTTCAATGAAGTTTAATATTGATGAATAATCACTTTTTATTTTTTTTTGTTTTGATTATTTAAAGTTGTACACTTTTTAATTTAAGTTTAATGTTGTATGCATGATACTTAGTTTGACAATTTTTACTTTAGATTAGAGATTATTTTATATTAGAGTTTATTTTAAATCATTTTTAAAAAAATTAGGTGGATTGGTGACTTAATCCGTTTAGCCCACCAACCCATGGTGGACTGGATTGAGTTAAAAGATTTTGGATATTAAGATTGGTCAGTTAGGTCAGATCAACCCACTTAAAAAGTGGATTGAGGTGGTCAAACAGATCGAATTAACATATTTTGACAACTATAGCTTTAGATATATTATTAGTGACTTAAAGATTAAAACAAAATTTTTAAAATTAGTATGACAAAAAAATAATTTTAAATTTGAGAGATAAAAATCAAACTTAACTTAAATTTAAAAGACTAAAAATATATAAATTTTTTTGTTATCAATAAAAATTATAAGTATGAGAATAATTTCTAACTTTTAAATTAAGAAAAGAGTAATTTTCTTTCTTTTGAAATAAAACTAAACCACAATGGTATGTTTTAATTTTAGGATTGTACTATACAAAAGATCTAACTTCAAGCCGTCATTAAAAAAAATACTATTATCCTTTTTTTTCATTAGAAAAATGACACGTCAGTATGAAATTTTGTCTCTTTTTATATACAACTAGTGTCCCAACCTGTGCATATGCATTGATTTATTATTATTATTATTATTATTATTATTATTATTTATTATTGTTTTTTGAAGTTAAGGTTAATTTTTATGAGTAAAATATTTATTTTATTTTATATTTAGATTGATAGTTCTTACATTATCGACTAGGAGTATGGTTTGTAAGCCAGCAAATAGGCATGGCAA